AAAAAAACAAAAAAAAAAAAAAAAGAAAAAGAAAAAGAAAAATCACAAAGTATCTTGAGAAAACTGAAAATAGAAACAGGACATATCAAAATTGAAATGTAACAAACGATGTTCTAAGAATTTTATAGTAATATATTTTTATATTAAGAAAAAAGATCCCAAATAAACAATGAAACTTTAATCCTCAAAACACTTGAAAATAACTAATCCCAATGTTAGCATAATAAAATAATAAAAATTAGACCTCTAATAGAAACAAATTAGAGACTTAAAAGACAAAAAAGATAAAAGGCAGAGAAAGAATTTACAGATAAAAATTTTCTAAAACAAAGGTTTTCAGAAAAGAGAGGAGAGTAAATATACTTCTTTTATTTTCCAGTTGGAGGACTAAATCTATTATTTCTATTTTGCTCGTATATTTACAATACCCACATCCAAAAACTCTGCTTTGAACTTATGGACATCTGATTTCCAGCAGGGCTTGGATTTAGGCACCTGCAGGGTGACCTTGGGTATATCATGTTCACAGGAAAGTCTGTGGGGAAAAATGCCGAATAAGAAAAGGTGCTATCGAATCAAGAGCGCGGCTGAGCGGCCCAGCGGCCATCCCCTGAGGAGCGGCCGGCTGGCGTCCGCCGCGCCCAGGAGCTGGGGATGTCCTACAAACCCATCGCCCCCGCCCCCAGCAGCACCCCTGGCTCCAGCACCCATGGGCCGGGCAACCCGGTCCCTACAGGAAGCGTGCCGTCGCCGTCGGGCTCAGTGCCAGGAGCCGCCACCCCTTTCAGACCGCTGTTGACTTTGGACCGCCTTCCATGGGCTATGTGCAGGCGATGAAGCCACCCGGCACCCAGGGCTCCCAGAGCACCTACACGGACCTGCTGTCGGTGATAGAGGAGATGGGCAAAGAGATCCAGCCCACCTATGCTGGCAGCAAGAATGCCATGGAGCGCCTGAAGAGAGGTATCATCCATGCCTGGGCCCTAGTCAGAGAGTGCCTGGCAGAGACAGAGCGGAACGCCTGCACGCAACAGGAAGCCTCTCAGCCTCAGCGTCCGGAACTTTCCCGGGCACTGCAGAGCACCCGCTTCTCCCTGGCCATCATCCCGAGTTGCACTAGCCATCCTGGGCTTCCTGTCCTGTGTCCCTTGGTGGGTGCCCTCCAGGAACCAAAGGGCGGCTCTCACTCCAGGTGGCAGCACTAAGAACGCCCTCCCCCTCCCCCGCCAACAAGAGTTAGCAGTGAGGTCCCTGTGTGAGTCGGGCCCATGACCTGCCGACAGTGTTGCCCACCGGAACTTTCTGTGGCCCCCACTGCTCAGCCCCTCCCAGCACTTCTCACACTTTGTCCCGAGCCTCCCTCTCTCCCAGCAGGGACTCAGGTCTGGCACCTGCTTGCCTTGTGTCCTGGGCCATAGTGACTCTTTTCTCTGTGTGTCTTTTGCTAAATATCCACTTTTTATATTAATAAAAGATGATTTGGGGGGAAAAAAAAGAAAAGAAAAGAAAAGA